GCTACCTGGGGAGGCTGAGGCAAGAGAATCACTTGAGCCTCGGGTTTGAGGTTGCAGTGAGCAATGATGATGCCATTGCAAGATAGCCTGGGCAACAGAGCAAGACTCTCTCTCCAAAAGAAAAAACAATTTTGTTAGTTGGCATTGTGAAAATTAAAAAATTTAACCATTTTTCTCATAAAAATGTGACTTAATGACATTGTGAAAGTCCTGCATTTTTAAAAAAAATCACTTTCTACCCTATATAACAAAATCTTTTTTTTTTACTTTTTATAGTTAAAAATACAGAATACACAGAAAAGAAAGATACAAGTATTCAGCTCAGTAAATTTCCACACACTGAACACTCACAGAATCAACACCCATAACAACAAACGGAACTTGACCTGCCGCTCAGAATCCTTCTGTGCTCTGCCAAGTCATCACTGTGCTTTTTAGCAGCCTAGATTAGTTTTCAAAATTATTTTATACTTACATATTAATTAATTCAAGGCAAGCAACAAATCGATTGAATAGAAAATTTTCTTATCCTACGACAAAGCAAGTTAATGATTTAATATTCATTATTAGTAGCCAATATTACAAAATGGAAATAATAATTCCTTTTAGTACTAATTATTTTCAGTAGTTTTAATTTAGTACTAACCAGGAAACATAATTAAAATTATTTGTAAATAATCACACTCTTGCATACTATTCCACACAAAAATGTCAATAGTAAGCATTAAATAATACCATTTGAACTTTTGTGTTAATTAACAATGAGCAGTAAATTCTTTTTAAAATTTTTAGTTGGCACATAATAATTACACATATTTGGGACACATAGTGATCTTTTGGCACATGTATACAAATGTGTAATGATCCAATCAGGATATTAGTATATCTGTCACCTTAGAAATCATTTCTTTATGTTGGGAACATTCAAAATACTCTCTTCTAGCTATTTGGAAATATACCATAAATTATTGTTAATTGCAGTGGCCATACTGTGCTACAGCGCACTAAAACTTATGCGACTTATCTAGCTGTAATTTTGTATCTGTTAACCAACCTCTCCCTCTTTTCCCGTCTCCCCACTCTTCCCATCCTCTAGTAACCACAATTCTAATCTCTACTTCTATGAGCTCAACGTTTTTAGCTCCCACATATGAGTAAGAAGATGCAGAACTTTCCTTTCTGTGCCTGACTGACTTCACTTAATATAGCCTCCTCTCTGCTCATCAACGTTGCTGCAAATCTCAGGAATTCATTCTTTTTTTGGCTAAATAGTATTCAGGTGTGCATATATACCACATTTTCTTTATCCATTTATCCACTGTTGGACACTGAGGTTGATTGCATGTCTTGGCTTTGTGAATTGCACTGCCTTAAACATGGGAGTGCAGACACCTCTTCGATATGTTGATTTCCTTTTCTTTGTATAAATATCCAGTAGTGGGATTGCTGGAGCATATGGTAGTTCTATTTTTAGTTTTTTGAGGTACCTCCTCACTGTTTTCCATAGTGGCTGTACTAATTTACATTCCCATGAAAAGTGTATGAGTTCCCTTGCCCCCGCCCCCATCCTCACCAGCATGTGATATTTTTTATCTTGTTGATAATAGCATTCTAACCGGGTGAATTCCTTTTAAGCTTTTATGTCTACTGGTCAGATTACTCTACCTAATTTTTGTTTGACTTTCATTTTAGAGCAGTAGTTCTCAACAACAAAAAGGGACCAGAGTTTGCCTCCCAGGGAACTTTTTGGCATTGTCTCAGACGTTTTTTGGTTGTCATTAACTGGAGGGTGCTACTGACATCTAGTGGGTGAAGGCCTGGGATTCTGCTCAACCTAATTTACAGCACAGACCCCCATAACAAAGAATTAACTAGCTTAAAGTGTCAATAGTACCAAGGTTGAGAATAGTGTTTTCTAAAGAATGGGTGAGTTTTGTCTTTAGTGGAGGTTAGTTCTTTTATTTTTTGGCTCTATCCTGATACATCCTTGCAGGATAGAGGTTAGTTTAGATAGGTTATAGCACATTGGTAATGCAGTCCAAGGCATTAGGAATTTAATTTCCATAGACTAGTTAATCTCTCTGTAGTCTGTGCACTCTGGACCCCAACCAAATGTCTTAACATTTCTGCTACTGATTATAAGAGGAACAAGATGAGACAATGTAGACAGGTTGGTACATAAACCTATCAACACTTCTGGAACTGTGTCTCAAAGCATGATGTCTTTTTTACTTAATCCAAATCTGTCTCTTCCTGTGTGACTAGTTCTCACTAGGAATAAGGTTATAAACTTTGGCTAGCAGCATTACTTAATTTCATTATTAGCTCCTGAGTTGATGGTTTATAGGCTTGAGGCCAGAGTGAATGATCCCTTATGGGCAGGCAGTTGTCCAGCCCTAACCACAGTCTCCTGCTCTGTCTTGGGAGGCATTAAGTGAGATGGCCAGTAGCTCTCCACAGACACTGCAGCCCACATAGCCCTGCCCTGTTCCTTTCTTCCGGTGATTACAGGAGGTCAGCAACATGAGAGTATACATAAATGCTGGTAATTAGTAGAAATCAATATCCGATAAAATTGTCCTTCATGGCTGTCTCTCAGGGGGAAGTTTTTTGTGTATTTCACTGTCTCCTGGTGAACTTATTCCATCCTCGACAACTTGGTCTACCATGAGCAAAGAGAGCCACATTTGAGCTATGGCCCTAAAACATTTGTTGGTATGCAAGAAAGAATTATTGGTAATATATACCAATTCTGACTTTGATATGAAGTATTTCTCTAAAAATATTACCTCAACACTACAACAAACTAAGATTTGTATAGTTGGAATTTTAAGTTTGTAAGTCCTTAAACTTAATGAAGAAGATTAGTTTAGAATTTGACCATTTGACTCTGCTCATTTAACTCTGAAAGCAGATATGATGCCAGGCGAGGTGGCTCACACCTGTAATCCTAGCACTCTGGGAGGCCGAGGTGGGCGGATCATTTGAGCTAAGGAGTTCAAGACCAGCCTGAGCAAGAGTGAGACCCTGTCTCTACTAAAAATAGAAAGAAATTAATTGGCCAACTAAAAAAAATATATAAAGAAAAAATTAGCCGGGCATGGTGGCACATGCCTGTAGTCCCAGCTACTCGGGAGGCTGAGGCAGGAGGATCGCTTGAGCCCAGGAGTTTGAGGTTGCTGTGAGCGAGGCTGACGCCACAGCACTCACTCTAGCCTGGGCAACAAAGTGAGACTCTGTCTCAAAAAAAAGAAAAATTGAAAGCAGATATGAATAAAATTATTGTGTAAAGAAAATTACTTGTGATGATTTACATAAAATACTCTCTGTTTTGTGTTAACTGGTTTATTTGTATTATGGGAGCAGAGTTTTATTAGTACTTTTAGTCCTCTTAAGAAGAGGTGGAATACTTCATAGAGCTCTAGGCTTTCTTTAGTTGTTAGTAGAAATGTGATAAGTTAGGTATGTTTGATGTTTGGGAGGAAACATGTGGCATAATGAAAAGAACATTTGCTTTCATGTCAGATATAACTCCAAATTCTACCACTTATGAACTATTTGACCTTGGACCACTTAACTGTTGTGGTCTTGCTTCAGCATCTGAAAAGACAGGAGAATACTTAACTGATAAAATTAGGGAATAAGTAAATAAGATAACCATGTAAAAGAATGGTCAGGAGGACGGCAGTATACACATAATTTGGAGTCATCAGTTCATCTGAAAGTGGATTGTAGTGATCAAGAGAACAGGCTTAGGGGCGAAGGGGATGTGTGAAATCACACCTGACAGGTACAGTGTACACTATCTGGGTGATGGGCACACTTACAACTTTGACTTAAGTAGTACAGAAGCAATCCACGTAACCCAAACATTTGTACCCCTGTAATATTCTGAAAGAAAAAACAAGAGAGCCCAGGGTTTGGAGCCAGACAAATGGAGTTTGGACTCTGCCTCTGTCAGTGATCTCTGGCTGTGCCCATGGCCAGCCAGAGATCAGCTATTTGATTAGCCTGGAATGGGAGGTGACCTCCGCCAGGCCACATAGTGCGTCAGGGCAGAGCAGTTGAGGCTTTACTCTCTAAGTCTCCTTTTCCTTCCTTGTGAAGTCATTCTGCTGGTGACTTTCTCACAGTTGTAAGGAAAGATGGATGGAGATCATGGTTGTAAGAAGCAGCTCATTGTGCCTGGCACAGGGCAAGCGCCAATAGGTGAAGGTGGCGAGTACACTGGAATGTGGTCCTTATTCTTTTTCCTGAAGTAATTTATCTGTTTGGTTGATGAGAGCCACACACTATGCGAAGTCTTAAAAATTTGGGAGTTGATTAATTTCTAGTGCTACATTATACTATTAGTATTACATTATACTAACTTATATTACATTATACTAACTATTAGTTCGTATTAGTTTCTAGAAACTATTAGTTTCTAGTGCTACATTATACTAACAATGTTAATGTATAGTTTAAATAATAATAATGCTAATTAGCATAAATAGTCTAATGCAAATAGTATACTTGGAACAAAGTTTGTTTAAGCATTTTACCCTTTTTTCTTACACTGGCTTATTCTTAGAGCGCTGCACAAGTCATGCAGAGAATGAGGGGGGCAAGATTGGGATCCGAGAGCAACATGGAGGTGGTGCAGCAGTGAGCTGAGATGGAGGCCCGGGTTAAGTGGTGGCAGAGGTAGTGATGAATGTGAACAGGCCGTACTCGAGGCTTGAGAGTTGATAAAATAGATAATTTTTACTGCTTCATCAAGGATACTCTTAAGGAAAACTGGCATCATTTTTTTTCACAGCGAGTACATGGCAGAGAAGAACACAAGTAAAAACTATGGTGTGGTACCAGTGCCTTCATTCTTGACAAAGCGCCAACAGTCTTACCCACCATTGCTTTTATATACCATCAGTGCAAATGTCAATGCAGTGACAGAAAACTGAATTTGAAAATGTGCTACTTCCAATAACAGGTTTCATCCTTTCCCTTTTTGGCTGCAGATCCTAACTATCTCATGGCTAACGAACGCATGAACCTGATGAACATGGCCAAGCTGAGTATTAAGGGCTTGATTGAATCAGCTCTGAACCTGGGGAGGACCTTGGACTCTGACTATGCACCTCTCCAGCAATTCTTCGTGGTGATGGAGCACTGTCTGAAACACGGCTTAAAAGGTAGGCTATGGCACCAAAATGCAGGTGTGCACGCAGCTGTTTCCTAGCAATGCATACTCAAGAAAAAAACATTCTTTGTGGAGCCAAAGAGTAAGAAGCTTGAGTTAATAATATTAACCCATTGGAATGCAGCCAATATGTGAACTGGGTTATGTTTGACATAAAGGACTTATGGGGTTTAAAAAATACAGATCATTTGGCCGGGCGTGGTGGCTCATGCCTGTAATCCTAGCACTCTGGGAGGCTGAGGCGGGCGGATTGCTCAAGGTCAGGAGTTCGAAACCAGCCTGAGCCAAGAGCAAGACCTCGTCTCTACTATAAATAAAAAAGAAATTAATTGGCCAACTAATATACATAGAAAATATTAGCTGGGCATGCCTGTAGTCCCAGCTACTAGGGAGGCTGAGGCAGGAGGATCACTTCAGCCCAGGAGTTTGAGGTTGCTGTGAGCTAGGCTGACGCCACGGCACTCACTCTAGCCTGGCAACAAAGTGAGACTCTGTCTCAAAAAAAAAAAAAAAATACAGATCATTAAATGTTAAGAGTTGGAAGGGCCATTATAAGTAATAAAGTCCAGCACAGCAGTTCTGTTTGACAGGTGGAAATAGGCCTGCCTAGAATGGGACATGACTTGCCCAGGGTCACACAGTGAGTTGGGACAGAGCAGGTGCTGGAACTCGGGTGTCCTGACTCCTGCTTCAGTGCTCTTTCCACTTAACCATAAGCTTTTTGAGGGCAGGACCTGGTCTTGTTCACCTTTGCTTCCTTTCTTCCTCCTTTCCCAATATTCAATAGCCTGTTTCTGGATTACATATTCTTTTCCATTGCACTGTTTTCTTCATTAATACCACAAAGTTTTAAGTACCATATTATTATAGTATAAGGCTAGGCCACAGATTCTTCTTGAAAGAAGAATGACTGAGTCTTAGGAAGTAGAGAATTTTTTATTTTCACAGAATGTTATCTATTCTGAAAGCATGAATAATTCAAAAACTGTCTAATAACCTAGCATGAGTTTCCCGAAAAGGACATTGAATAGATGGGACAGGTGTGTGTATGTCTGTGTATTAAGAAAGTGTTTATGTTGTAAAGAATGTTAAAAATATTGCTTGTTTTTGTTGCATTAGCTAAGAAGACTTTTCTTGGACAAAATAAGTCCTTCTGGGGGCCACTAGAACTGGTAGAAAAGCTTGTTCCAGAAGCTGCAGAGATAACAGCAAGTGTTAAAGATCTTCCGGGACTTAAGTAAGTCTAAGGTTGATTTCTGTTTCTCAGGAACAACATTCTTACTAATTAAACCCTTGAAGAGTAAGACTAAAGATAATGATGTCTGTAACGTTAATAATTTCTTTCATAACAATTCAAATTATATAATGTTATGAATAAGCACTGTTATGAGGGAACTGGTATATAGAATATTAAGAAAAATGTGCCTTTGAGGGATAATTATTTATCAAGAGGTTGTCTTCATGTTGAAATAGCAAACATTTCCTTATTTTTTATTTTATCTTTTTATTTTTTTATTTTTGTTAAAGCTAGTCAAACATGGATGTGGGGGGAGCATTTCCTTATTTTTTTAAAGCATTTGTGAGAATCAGTTAGTGAATCTCAAGAAATTTGATCTAGGGAGATGGCGTGCTAGACTCGACTTGGGGAAAGAATGTATTTGATAGAGTTTGAGAGTCAGGATTAAAACCAGTGGACCTCAGGATCTGACACCTAGACCCTGCCTCAGAACTTGAAAAAGAATAGTGATCACTTTTCCAAATGAGATTGGTTTCGTTTTAATCAGAGGCCTAAATTGCCTGTGTCCACATTAGTGCTTGGGTATTTATATAATCCACACTAAAGTTAAGAGGATTTACCAATACTGATCTGATGGAACATTTTCAGTCGGGCCTCTCAGAGGTCTTGTCCTCAGCTTATAGTCACATTCAGTAATAATTCTTTACAAGAGAATTGTCCCAAACACACTCCTGGGTTCCAGTAGCCCACACTAACTTTCTTGCATAGGAATGTGGTAGGAGAAACTGTGAGGAAAATCTGTTTGTTACACTAGGAGACCATTAGCAAGAGTAAGTCAATCTGTTCCACTGTGGCCCTTGCTTCTCTTATGTTTTTAGTGGTTTGGTGTCTGTGTTTTTGTAGGACACCAGTAGGCAGAGGAAGAGCCTGGCTTCGTTTGGCATTAATGCAAAAGAAACTCTCAGAATATATGAAAGCTTTGATCAATAAGAAAGAACTTCTCAGGTACGAATACCTTCTTGATCTTTCTTCTTTCCTTGGTATGTTCTGTGTCACATAAAATTGAACCATATAAATTTGCCATTTTTTTGTAGATCAGAAATAGTTAATTCATAACAATTTCACTAATGCTTTCCCCCACACCTCACACACACATACTCCTAAATGGATGTTTTCTGTTATTTGTGTCATATGTGACTGTGGAGTACATAGGGGTCCTTTTCAGAGCAGGCCAGAACTTACCTCCAGAAAACAGGAAAGGGACTGTAAGCATGTACCCAGGCTCAGTAAGACAAGAAGTTGTCATGAGCATTAAATTCAAATTAGAACAAAAAGAATTTCCAGATGGATCATAGATGAAAGCGGGAGAGGCAAAACAATAAAACTTTTAGAAGAAAACATAAGGCAGGAAGAAATTTCTTAAACGGGATGCAAAAAGTATAAAGGAAAAAATTGGTAAATTGGTCCACTTTAAAGTGAAGAACTTCTGTTCATCAAAAGATCCTGGAGATTAAGGGTGAAAGGAGATATTTGTAATACGTAATACATATGTTCAACAAAGGGTGCATATTCAGGGTACATAAAGAACTCTATAGTTCCAGTAAGAAAGATTACAGACAAGCAAATATAAAAATGGGTCAAAGACTTAAACAGGTATTTCACAAAAGAGGACATTGAAATGGCCAATAAACATAAAAGATACCCAACTTCACCAGCCATCATGTCAGTACACATTAAAGCAACAGTGTGATACTGCTATGCACTCACCAAAATTGCTAAAATGAAAAGACAAATAATACCAAGTGTTGGTGAGGATGTGAAGTAACTTTAATGTTCTGTTGATGGGACAGAGTTAAACAGTACAGAATTTAGGAAAACTGTTTAACATTATCTATTAAATCTGACCATAAGCATACCTTATGACTCAGTAAGTTTCGGTGTTATATCCAGTAGAAATGCATAATTACGTTCAACAAAAGACATGAACAAGAATGTTCATAGCTATTACAATGTTGGTAATAACCCCAAATATTGTAATAGACCCCAGTGTCTATTCCCAGTAGAGTGGATAAGTAAACTGTTATGTGTTTATGCAATGAAATACCACATAGCAACTATACACAGTGACATGGATTAATCTCTCAAGTATAATGTAAGTAATCTTTTATGATAATAAAGAAGCTACCATTGGCCAACTGGAGATAGAGTAGTAAATAGCAGAAGGGCAAAAAGGGGCTTCTGAGGTTCTGGTAATATATTAATTCTTAATCTGGGTATATAAGTGTGTTCTCTTTATTAAAATGCATTGTTATGATTTGTGTACTTTTTTTTTTTTTTTTTTTTGGCATATTATGGGGGTACAGATTTTAAGGTTTCAATAAATGCCCATTTCCCCCCCTCCCCCCATTGTGTACTTTTGTATATATGCTTTATAGGTCATTAAAATTTACTGTAATACATTCAAATATAGTAGATTACCTCTGAGAAATAATATAAGAGGAAATACAAGGATGAGAGAATTTAAAGAAATGGCTGGATTTTCCAAGAACCTAATTTTTACAAGAAATAGCCATCCATATCCTAATGGAGCCTTGATTTTATGTTGCTGCAGCTACATATGCCATTGATTGCTGTTTTCTGGCCTAAGAAAATCTAACAAATTGGGAGAAAGAGAAATAGGAACTGTTCAGGGAAACTTACTTATTTCCACAAAGGGAAAGCTCAACTTTCCAGAGCCAAGCCTTGAAGTGGTGTAGGGTCTAGTGTTCAAGCTGTAGGTAGCTGCGAGGCGAGTGTCTTTAATCAAAATCATGTGGTCTAAAGAATTAGGGTTTTGTCCACAGAGCACCAGAGTAAATGAATTCAGTCCTGTGAACTGGGCAGAGCAGTTCTTTATATATAACTTCATTTACTTGGACCCATCAACTTCACTCATGGGTATGTCTAACAGAAATGCATATGTGTATGTATTAAAAGGCACTAGAAACAACCCAAATGTCTATGAACAATAAATAGAATGGATACATTGTGGTATATTCCTACCATGAAATGCTGTCCAGCAGTGAAAACACATCAACTGTAGCTACATAGAATATATTCGAATCACACAACTAAAATATTGCGCAAAGGAAGCCAGACACAAAAGAGTATGTATATATGATTTCATTTATATAAAGTTCAGAAATAGGTAGACTCAATCTATGGTGATAGAAATCGGGACAGTGGTTACATTGAGGAAGTGAGGGTGGTGATTCAGAGACAGAGAAAAAGCAGATTTCTGGGGGTCCAGTAATGGTCTCTTTCCTGATCAGGATAAACAAACCAGACAAATTTTTTTAAGATGCATAAAAAACTGCCGAATTATTCTATGGTGCATCATAAATACAAATATGTCAGAAAAATCTGAATACTCATTTCAACCACGATACCCTTCTGATCACATTTCTTTTAGCTACACTGTTATGTAAGGAATCTGTTCATGTACCTTTTATCTAAAATAAAATATCTGTCAAAGCCTTTTTTTTCCTTTTTCACTATTATCATAGATGACTGTATTCAATCTTAAACCATGCATGTTTTCCTTGTCTCACTCATGATTACATCATTGGATATTGGGGGTTTTATTACAGTAAAGAATTCTGGCCGGGCATGGTGGCTCACGCCTGTAATCCTAGCACTATGGGAGGCTGAGGCCAGAGGACCCCTTGAAGTCAGGTGTTTGAAACTAGCCTGAGCAAGAGTGAGACCCATCTCTAAAATAAAAACAAAAAACAAGAATTCTGTGGATTTCTCTTACAGTGAATTCTATGAACCCAATGCTCTCATGATGGAAGAAGAAGGAGCCATAATTGCTGGACTGTTGGTGGGTCTGAATGTCATTGATGCCAATTTCTGTATGAAAGGAGAAGATCTGGACTCTCAGGTATGGGAAAGATACTCAGTTACCAAATGAGTCGCTCTGAGTTCTCTTATCTCAGAATTAGACTGATTAGATCAGGCATCCTCAAACTACAGCCCGAGGGCCACATGCTGCCCGCCTAGGACATTTATCTGGCCCACCAGGTGTTTTTGCCGCAGCTGCCTGTCCTGCTTAGCAGCCGACTCCTCCCAGGCCCACAGTGTGCACTCTCCAGTGGTCTGAGGGACAGTGAACTGGCCCCTGTTTAAAAAGTTTGAGGACCCTTGGATTAGATCATACCAACCAGACTGGGGTCAGGGAGATTCTATGTCATGAATAGGATTTCCTTTAACTTCGATATGAATATTAAAAATATTTGTTTTTCCTTCCAACTTGGCTTATTTATGCATTATGAATATTTTCAAATGCTTGCCTTGGCTGTGATCCCTGTTAAACATATATACATATATTCACACACATATCTGTGTATAAATATATATAAAGAAAGTTTAAACCTTATTTATATTAAGTATTCTGTTGACTCTCCTAGTCATGGTCTCTCGTCTTGTTGTGCTATAGATTTTAATCTTGAATCTTTACTTCTAACCCTTGTCAATTCTTGATTTTACTAAAAGTAAAGCTTTAAATTTTCACCATAAATTTTTGTTAACTGTCATGATTATATTACTATTTTGAGTACCTAGAAAGAGACATTGTGTTATGCCTTTCAAAAAGCATTTAATTTTATATTAATCCTGAAAATTCTCCCCCATAGGTTGGAGTTATAGATTTTTCAATGTATCTCAAGGATGGGAACAGCAGCAAAGGTAGTGAAGGGTATGTACAAAAAAAAAAAATTAGGTTTCTTTTTTCCTCTCCAATGTAGTAATTTTTTGTCTTTGGTAGTATTTAAAATTTACAACAGTACTGCTTTAACAGACTTGCTGAAAGAATTTCTGATGCTACAGCTTCAGTAAAGTCTTGCCCAAAATACCTATTATGCCTACTGCTAAATCCTAAAAGTGTTTTTAGTTGAGTAATTTTCTTGCTATGTGGTTCAAGGGCAAGTAAAATAAAAATTAATAAATTAATAAAAGGTATCCAATTCTCCATCTCTTATAGTGGAGTTTTAAAACATGGTCATTGTGACCAGAGGGATTGCATTTTCATAATAAATAAGTTTGCTTAAAATTTGCAGTGTGCCTCATGAGGTTATGTAAAATATCAACATTGGGGGGAGCTGAGGGAAGGGTATAGGGGAACTCTGTACTACCTATACAACTCTTCTTATAAATCTAAAATTATTTCAAAATAAAAAGTTTAAAAAATACGCATTATGGTACTTAGTAATTAGAGATCAGAAGCATACTTTGTACCCTTTAAAAATTTAGCAGTTGAAAGCATAGTCTGATGCTTTTAACCTTGGATAATAAGCTAAGATTATGTCACTTGTTCTTTTGGTGATTATATAGATACGTGGCCTTAATTTTGACTTTCAGCTTGAAAAGGCTGGCTGTTTAACTTTGCCTATTATAGATTAGTTGGTTATAGAAATGAACTTCCTTTTTCCATACTTTATTTTCTCGAGTAATAAACATATTTGATTTTTTTTTTTTTTTTTTTTTTTTCGCTTTGTTGCACAGGCTAGAGTGATTGCCGTAGCATCAGCCTAGCTCACAGCAACCTCAAACTCCTGGGCTCAAGCAATCCTCCTGCCTCAGCCTCCCGAGTAGCTGGGACTACAGGCATGCACTGCCATGCCTGGCTAATTTTTTTCTATATATATTAGTTGGCCAATTAATTTCTTTCTATGTATAGTAGAGACGGGGTCTCACTCTTGATCAGGCTGGTTTCGAACTCCTGACCTTGAGCAATCCGCCCGCCTCGGCCTCCCAGAGTGCTAGGATTACAGGCATGAGCCACCGCGCCTGGCCCATATTTGATCTTTATGACAGCCTTTTATACCTTTCATTTTGAGTGTGAACAGCACTTAAAGGCAAATATGTAGCCTTTGAGAACAACCATATTACACTAGAATGAACTTAATTCTTATGACAAATGGAAAATTGTTACTGCAAATAATACTAGCAAAGCTGAAAAACCTATTAACTAACAAGAACATTTCTATCCTTTAAATACTTCTGATAGATTATAACATCCTACCTATAACCTAAATTATTAAGGTTTATAAGCTATAACAAGTGCTTGATTAATGTGGATTTTGTTTTCATTTTAAACATCTTGAGTCTTTCTGGTTGGTATGTCTAGGGGATTATATATCAGGTCTGTCTTCTGTTTCACTGTATCTATGCCATAATTTTTTTTCTATGTTTTATGAAAAGATGGAGGGGTGGATCAGGATCTTGATGTTTCTAATGTTATTTATTTTATTTCTGTTTTTTCTCCTTTCTTCCTCAGAGATGGTCAGATTACTGCAATTCTGGACCAGAAGAACTATGTAGAGGAACTCAACAGACACCTGAAGTAATGAATAAGTACATTACTTGGGAATTGCTGAGGTAGAAAGGAAGGGCAGAATGATGAGCAGTGAGGATAAATTCTGACAGTACTCATCAAACATACATAGAATTCCTGCTTGCCAGGCACTGAGTTAGGCACCTGTTAAATGGCCTTTAACTGTTTTCATACCCTTGAGTGAAAGGCAGTTACGATTAATATTTAATTGTAGCTCTAGTGATTAAATACATTCAGTTACAAATTTTAAAATAATGTGACATATACAGTTGAAATTGGTAGCCCACTTGGTCCAGTAGATATAGCCACATATTTCAGGATTGATCTCAGGTAAACCACTCACTACTTTACTACCTTTAGATTAATTGTATCTCTTTGCTTCCTCGCATTTCTCATTTACATATTGAATTGATATTATTAGTTTGCCCTTTCTTCACCATGACTACCATGAATTTACCAAGTAGAGTAGCGCCCTCCCCCCATCTGCAGGGGGTCCTTCCCAAGACCCTCACCACATGCTTGAGACGACAGATAATACCACACCCTTTTCACACTGTATTTTTTCCTATACATATGTACTTGTGATAAAGTTTAAATTATAAATTAGGAACAGTAAGAGATTAACAATAATAAATAAAACAGAACAATTTTATTAGTATACTATAATAAGAGTAATATGAATATGGTCTCTCTCTATCTCAAATATCTTATTGTACTGTACTCAACTATTTGCAGACCGCTATTGACTATGGGTAACTGAAACCATGGAAAGCAAAAATCGTGGATAAGGGGGGATTATTTTTAGAACTGTCCAAAACATGAAACAGTTTTCTCTCTTCTGAGGAGAGCTATGCACAAGCTATTGGTATTTCTCAAGTACTTTGATGTTCTTATTATGCTAAAGACTATTGGATAATTTAGAAGAATAATTAATAGATTCATTAATTATTATTTATAGTTATCTTATGAAAGATAGCCATTTTTAATTTAAGTAAGACCTCTAATATGATTATACTAGTGTCATTATAAATTTTGAGTAGGGCTTGGTTCCAGTTGGCAAATTCAAGAACAGTTTAAGTACATTTTTTCTGGGGACCAAGAACTAAAAATGACTATAATGTGTGGCAGAGATGTTTAGTTAGCCAAGCAAAGTTATAGTTACAGTTGACAATGAAATATAAACAATGACACTATTATTTACTCTTTCTGTGCCTCAGTTTCTTTATATTTGGGGATACCTAACACATAGGGCTTTTGGAAGGAGTAAATAAAATAATGCAAGTAACATAATTTAGAAGAGTGCTTGGTACATGTAAACACTTAATTCATGTAGCCTATTATTATTGCAGATCTTAAAATTTACTGTGTAGTGCATCAGCGCTTTCATTTCATTGAACAAATATTTACTGAATTCTAACTCCAATGTCAAAGCCATAGCAGGTAAGGCAGACACAGCCCTTTGTAAACTTAGAGCCTGTAGGTCTACTGAGAATTGTGGACATTAGACAATGAATGATAAGTGTGATGGGTGTCTAAAAAGGAAGGTAGAGGATATTGTGCTTTTTTCAAAAGAGACCTATATTTTTTCTTCTTGATAGTGCTACTGTAAATAACCTCCAGGCAAAAGTAGATGCATTAGAAAAATCCAACACTAAACTGACAGAAGAGGTAAGTGTTTTGGAAATTCTTTGATTGACTTACAGAATTTAAAAATGGGCATTGGTAGAACCAGTAATTTCTATGCAACCTTGGAAATGAAAGACTTGACTTTTCAGATATAGCTACTATATAGTATGTAACTCCGTGTTCTAACTAGAATGGCCAGTCTGCTTGTCACAGGGTGTCATTTACATAGTTGGACTGCAGAGGCTGTGTGGGCAGGGGTCTCGTTTACCTGGCTGGTGAAGTATCTTGGTTCCTTTTGTATGAATGTTTGGTCTGGGCTAGCCTAATAATAATAATAATAATGTTTAGCATATACCATGAAATTCATCATTTATTCATTCTGGAAAACATCTTCGGCACTATTTATGTATAAGAGCTAGACAAAGGTTTAGTGCATGCTAGACATTGATTTGTGTGTTCCAGATTGGCAAGCTCCCCACCCCCCACATTTTGTTTTCTCTGGGGGCAGTGAGGGAGATAAGATTAAAGAGCTAGGGTCAGGAGACCAGTAGTCCCTGCTTACATGTCATGCTACTTATATGTCATATGCCACTGAGTCAGTCAGTCACTAGACCCGTAAGAGGCCCAGTTCTATCACTGGCAGATGATGGTGTTTACAGTCTACTTCCCTTTTAACCTCACAGTTTCTCTGAAGATCAGATTAAAAATAGATGTATGTGTGAAAAGTCCCTAAAATAAGACTAGAAAAACAACCCCATGTTTTACTTCTAATTAATAAAGATATTTTTTCTAACTTGCCAGAGGATAAGCTACAGTGTTTTTTTATTAAATAGCATTACATGTTTCTATGAAAAATATTAAATAAAATTAACCATGTGGCAAAGTGTTTGTCTTATTTCTAATTATAATGATCCTGCTACATACAGTGGGACAAATTTGGTTTAAATAAAATCAAATTTAAAGAACTAGTCAGAAAGGTGCTGTTTCATCAGTTTTTCTTCAGAATAAACATTTTCATCATTATAATTTTAAAATGCCTTCCTTATTACTCAGCTCTGTGGACTTCATTTTTGGATGAAAATTCTTAAATTTTGCATATATATTAAAACTTTAATTTATGGATATGACACTTAGAATCTTACCCCACTGGCTTTGGGAATCCTCAGCACAGAAATTCCACTGTGATTCTGCTGTCACCGCACGGAGGCAGTGTGGCCTGGCAGCGGAGCATGGTCTCTAAGGCTGGGCCACTGGCTAGTTTTCTAATCCTGGCCCAATGACTTACACCTCTATTCCTGGTTCACTTATCTGTAAAGTGAGAATAACAATAACACTGCTTCATAAGATTGTTGTATGAATTTAAATGATTTAATACACAAGGAGGGCCTAGAACACTGCCTGACACATCCTGAGCACTCAGCACACATAGCGGTGAATTTTGTTCCCTCAGACTCGCCTGCCCTTCTGACTTAGATTTATTACACTAACAGTATTCATTTATTCACTTACTTATTTTACCAGTAACACTTATTTTCTCGAAACTTTGAACTTCTAGAGATAAGTAAGCACCGTGTGTACGTTATAGAGAACACATACGTTTATAATCAGTTCTACCTTTTCTTATTTCCATTTCTGGATTTAAGAGGGCTCATAAAAGAAGCCCCTCCTGAGTTCTCAACTGGAATGACAAAATGGGAAGAATTAAGCAGATGAAAGTATAAATAATCTCCTTTATTATCAGTAAATTGAATTTTAAAAGCCCACTTGGATCTGCAGCCATAATTAGGTTTCCCGATACTTTCTGTTAAGTGATGGCATCCTTGCATCTAGAGAGCAGACCTGCTTGCTCAGAATTACTTCTTTACATCTTATTAGGCCCAGGTAGCAAAGAGAGAAATGGCCTTCCAGGCTTGTTAGAGCTTTTCTGTATTTACCTTGTTAAAACATGAACAGAGCAGAACTGCACCCCACCTTCCCATTCTCTGGGAGTTTAGAAGGTACAGAGAAGCAAAAAGTATTTGCGCCATACTTTTCCCTCCCATGGAATGGGGATATGAATGTTTCCCCTTAGCAGTATACTTGCTAATAACATTATCTTTTTAGATGCTGAAATGAAAAATCTCTTCCGTGTTTAAGAGGATCTTTTAGAGTGAGAACTTTGGAGTTCATTCCTTTAGCCTTTTAAAATTATCTATAAAAGGTCTTATGGAGGGTTTGTGACCTGGTGCCATAGCATGAGATGACCTCTTTATTAAATATTTTAGAAATAGATATTCTTACTAAATGTAATTACCACTTATCCATGAGAACATCCTTGAGATAAAAAATCTTAACATTTTGGCATTGAAAAATGTTTCCATGTAAAAGCAGCAGTAGGAGATACTTTTTGTTTTTATTTTAACCTACTTTAAAAATATTTCTCTTAAGTTCCCTATAAGAACACTCTTATTGAGTTACAGGTAGCTTCCTTTGTTTCTAAGAATATCCAGATTGGAAGTTATGTCCTAGCAAATCATGCATTATCTTATACCATGTTAATTTTTAAAAGATAAAAATTATTTAAAAACTTTTATCAACAGCTTGCAGTTGCAAACAACAGGATTATTACCTTGCAAGAAGAAATGGAACGAGTTAAAGAGGAAAGTTCCTACATAGGAATCATCGAAGGATTATCTTACTGGATTTATAAAATATTTAAGAGCAGCATGTCATGTGTTGGGCGGAGGGGAGAGTCTTTCTTTTAAGCAGCAAGCATTTGCATGTATAACACACTGTGTTTACTCGGCTCCATTCCTCACTGAGGGCATGATGAATGTTCTGGGGGAGGGTGTGCCCTTTTTCTACCACATGCTCTTGACTCGTGCCACCCACATCTGTCTAGAGACTTTAAGAAACAGTCTCATTCACTTCTTGTGTTTTTTTTTGAGACAGAGTCTCACTGTGTTGCCCAGGCTAGAGTGCCGTGGCGTCAGCCTAGCTCACAGCACCTCAACTCCTGGGCTCAAGCGATCCTCCTGCCTCAGCCTCCCAAGTAGCTGGGACTACAGGCATGTGCCACCATGCCGGCTGATGATTTTTTCTATATATATCAGTTGGCCAATTAATTTCTTCTATTTATAAGAGAGGGTCTTGCTCTTGCTCTTCTGACTTGCTCTTGCTCTTGCTGGTTTTGAACTCCTGACCTCGAGCATATCCACCGCCTCGGCTCCCAGAGTGCTAGATTACAGGCGTGAGCCACCGCGCCTGGCCTATTTTCTTGTTTTTATGTACTGATGATTCATATTGTACTTTACTGTTGTATCGTTATATTAATATGCCTATATTTTTACATCATGTTACTGTTTGATAAGAAGTGACATCACTTTTTCACTTTATTTGATATCATTGGGAGTTACCACATCAATGAATTTTCTAGATAACTTAACCTTAAAGCACCAACCTTTTTATACATATATAATCAGATTTTGCAAACATTGAATGTTTGTACAAGTCCAAGCTTCTTTATTTTATTTTTCCTCTAAAACAACAAAAGCTGCATAACCTTTCTTAATTAAGGACTAATTGTTTAACACATTTAGCCCTGTATAGGGGGCTGATTATGATTATCAACATTGCAATTCTGTACTCAGGTATAAAGTATACTTTAGGAGGCTGTTGAAACGGATAGAGCTTCTAACACCTACACTTAACCATTCCAGATTGCTGTGGATTTTTTTCCTGCCTTTTATGAATTCACTAGCATCTCTTACTTTTCACTGTTGGTGTTGCTATCTCTAGAAACTCTCCCCACTTCCTTTTATCTTTATGCTTCTAATCTATGTCACCTAGGATCAAATATCCACAGTTATGAAATTGTTCCTACAAAATGACTAGGCTCTGAATGGGGACTCAAGCAGTTTATGAGTAAGGTTTTGACTTTAATGTATAGACTCATGAAAGGAACTGTGACTGCTCACAGGGAAATGTTTTGATGACTTATTTATGTTTAGCTGTGACCTCTCTGAATAGTTCAAGATGCCACATGTGAGATCTCTGGAGAATGAGTGTATTACCTTTTAAACTTTTGGTCCAACTCATAGTTTTCTGTGAATACCATATTATTTTTAGAATACCATATTAGAATACCATATTATTTTTGATTTTTTTTTTTTTTTTGAGACAGAGTCTCGCTTTCTTGCCTAGGCTAGAGTGAGTGCCGTGGCATCAGCCTAGCTCACAGCAACCTCAAACTCCTGGGCTCAAGCGATCCTCCTGCCTCGGCCTCCCGAGTAGCTGGGACTACGCCACGAGCCACCGTGCCGGCTGATTTTTATATTATATATATTAGTTGGCCAATTAATTTCTTTCTATTTTTATGGTAGAGACGGGGTCTCGCTCAGGCTGGTTTTGAACTCCTGACCTTGAGCAATCCGCCCGGCCCGCTCGGCCTCCCAGAGTGCTAGGATTACAGGCGTGAGCCACGGCCCGGCCTATTTTATTTTTAAAACTACTACCAGCCTGGTTTGGTAACCTATCTTAGATTTTTAAATAAAGTGGCAGGAAATCCCAGTTCAGCTTAAACTTAATATTTACTAGACTTTTTCCACTTTCTTTATTCTTTGTTCATTGTCATTTACCTGCTTAGGTATTATCATGTTTCCTTTTACTAAGTAGCAGTTGTAGTGTCTGCTAATTCTGTATACGTTAATGAATCCTAAATATGTACAATTTTTATTTATCTTTTACAGGGTCCTAAGCAAGACAGAACTTCAGAAGGGGCAAGCACTAAGTGAAGCAAGAAAGCATTTTGAAGAGGAGACGCAATTACGATTGTAAACTTTGCTTAAGTTTAATAATTCAGAAACACAGTAAAAGGTAATGGCCTACTTAGAGGTTATATTGTACAGACCAAATTAAGGATATCAGTGTGTTGTAAAATTTTTATAGATCTGTAAATTATTTCTCTTTCTTTTCAACCCACATTCCCTATAATGCTTTCTCAATCCTTTTCTGAGTATCCTCAAAAGCAGTAAGATTTTGCCAATATCTTCTTTGTCTTTAAAGTTTGTATTATAAAAACATTGAGTATAGCTGGGCGCGGCACGGTGGTGCACACCTGTAATCCTAGCACTGTGGGAAGGCTAAAACGGGTGGATTGCTCAAGGTCAGGAGTTCGAAACCAGCCTGAGCAAGAGTGAGACCCCATCTCTACTATAAATAGAAATTAATTGGCCAACTAATATATATACATAGAAAAACTTAGCCAGGCATGGTGGCACATGCCTGTAGTCCCAGCTACTTGGGAGGCTGAGGCAGGAGGATCGCTTGAGCCCAGGAGTTTGAGGTTTCTGTGAGCTAGGCTGACACCATGGCACTCACTCTAGCCTGGGAAACAAAGTAAGACTCTGTCTCAAAAAAAACCCCAAAACATTGAGTATATAGAACCTACTTTTTAAGCTCTTTTCCTTGACAATGGGTCTGGTCGTCTTCTGTGGCGTCTATATCATGTTCTGTAAACCTATATCTTGTTCTTGCTCTATAATCCTATCTTTTTGTCCTCAATAAACCTCATTTTCATGCTTGCCTTAAAAAATAAAAAATAGCTTCTTCCCTTTTGCGGCCATCGCCAGAGTGGCAGCGGCCAAAATGAAGTTCAATCCCTTTGTGACTTCGGACCGAAGCAAGAACTGGAAAAGGCATTTCAATGCACCTTCCCATGTTTGCAGGAAGATTATGTCTTCCCCTCTTTCCAGAGAGCTGAGACAGAAATACAATGTTCGATCCATGCCCATCCGAAAGGATGATTAAGTTCAGGTGGTTCGGGGACACTATAAGGGTCAGCAAATGGGCAAAGTAGTCCAGGTTTACAGGAAGAAATATGTCATCTACATTGAACGGGTGCAGCAGGAAAAGGCCAATGGCACAACTGTCCACGTGGGCATTCACCCCAGCAAGGTGGTTATTACTAGGCTTAAACTGGACAAAGACCGAAAAAAGATCCTTGAACGGAAAGCCAAATCTTGCCAAGTAGGAAAGGAAAAGGGCAAGTACAAGGAAGAAACACTTGAGAAGATGCAAGAATAAAATAATCTTATGTACAACCTTCATTAAAAACTGCTAAAAATAAAACTAAAAATAAAAAATAAATTATGTAATCCCCACTCCTACCTCATCCTCATCCCTGCAACCATTCTGATATGTGTTAGAGCAAGCAGTTTCTCTTCCTCTTACAGAGTCATTAATATAGAATTATATTTTTATTTTTAGCTGTTATTTCTGAATTTACTCTTGGTCTTGGATATAAATGGATAAATTTATCATCCAGTATTAGTCTTAAGATTTTTTTTTAGAAATTAAATATATAAAAGTTTATAATATGAGCTACAACCTCACTCTAAACAGAATGGCTACTATCAAAAAATCAAAAGAGGCTGGGCTCAGTGGCTCAAGCATGTAATCCTAGCACTCTGGAAGGCCAAGGTGGGAGGATTGCTTGAGCTTAAGAGTAGCCTGAGCAAGAGCAAGACCCCATCTCTACTAAAAATGGAAAAATTAGCTGGGTATGGTGGTGCAGGCCTGTAGTCCCAACTACTCGGGAGGCTGAGGCAGGAGGATCGCTGGAGCCCAGGAGTTTGAGGTTGCTGTGAGCTATGATGATGCCACCACACTCTACCCTGGGTGACAGAGTGAGACTCTGTCTCTAAAAATAAGAAAAAAAGGGAGGTTTCATGTGAAGTGAATCTAAAACTTCTGTTAGCCAAATTGGCTATTGCTAGTGATTGAGATGTTACCCTGGGAACCCAGAGGGTCTTCTAGGTTCCCAGGGCTCTTAAATATATCAACAACATTCAAATGTAGAATTGCAGCTGCTTGCCTTTGTGCTAACTGCTGTGATACTTCATGTATATTTCTATAGTAGGACATGACATTAGTGTCTTGTCTTGGTGTTTAACGAAGTGCCTCAAGCATGTGTGTATTTTAGACATATTAGCTAGCACTTTCTAGCTTAGCATGTTTTCTTTTTTCTTTTTTTTAGCACTTCAGGCTTTATATATATATATATATATTTTTTTTTTTTTTTTTTTTTTTTTTTTTTTGTCATAGGTGTATTCATCTGGCTTAGTTCTGTTTTGTTCTTATTATTTTTTCTGTTGAAATCTTTAAATAGGATTTTTGCTCTTGAAAAATAACTTTAGTTAAAAAAAAAAAAAAGCACAAGCGAAACAAAACATAGCAAGCACGTCTAACCACCAAAAGAGCTACACATGACCCATGGATGGTTATAGAATAAATCTAAAAGTAAAGCAATGAATCAACAAATGGAATAATGAAGCAAGAGGAAATAAATCCATATTGCTCCATTCAACAGACGCTTTCTCCTCATTCTCTTGTGTTAGCAGGAGTTAAAACCCCAGGTGCTCAGTGAAAAGTGGGGTGTATCCTTGGGGAGGAAGGGTTTGGAAATTGCGTAGGTCTAATGTGGCGACACTGGTCATATTTTTATTGGTAAAAGCTGCCTGGCTCTGTGATGTGCCACATCCTAATAAAATGGAGACTTTCTATTGTGGTCTCTATCAACAATGTATTTGAAAAATAATATTGTTTCAGCAGTTAAGTTTTAAAATGTTTAACTTTTTCTTAGCTTGAACTTCTTGCCCTCTTCCCGTCATGCCTTTTAAAACAAATTTCTTGTCAAGTTACAATTTACTTTATATTCACTTTTAACAAGTATATAGGCCTGTGACTAATCCAGAGATAATTATATTGCCAATCCTATTGACAAAATTGAAATACTGAAATAGAAAAAAATCTACATTTCCAACTCCCTTTTCCCAGTTGTTGTAAAGTTTTAATAATTTTATGCTTAAATTACATGGTAAAGTAGGTTAAAATAAAAACAAAAAGTATCTCCTACTGCTGCTTTTACATGGAAACATTTTTCAATGCCAAAATGTTAAGATTTTTATCTCAAGGATGTTCTCATGGATAAGGTAATTACATTAGTAAATATCTATTTCAAAATTTAATAAAGAGGTCATCTCATGCTATGGCACCAGGTCACAAACCCTCCATAAGACCTTTTATAGATAATTTAAAAGCTAAGAGAATGAACTCCAAACTTCTCACTCTAAAAGATGTCTTAAACTGAAGAGATTTTTCATTTCAGCATCTAAAAGATAATGTTATTAGCAAGTATACTGCTAAGGGGAAACATTCATATCCCCATTCCATGGGAGCGAAAGTATGGCGCAAATACTTTTGCTTCTCTGTACCTTCTAAACTCCCAGAGAATGGAAGTGGGGTGCAGTTCTGCTCTGTTCATGTTTTTAACAAGGTAAATACAGAAAAGCTCTAACAAGCCTGGAAGGCCATTTCTCTCTTGATCCTGGCCTAATAAGATGTAAAGAAGTAATCTGAGCAAGCAGGTCTGCTTGTCCTGTTCTAAGGATTCAAGGAATCTCATTAACGAAAGTATCGGAAACTAATTATGGCTGCTGATCCAATGGCTTTAAAATTCATTACTGATATAAAGATATTATACTTTCATCTGCTAATTTCCCACTTTGTCATTCATTGGAACTCAGCGAGTTCTTTTATGCAGCCTCTTAAATCAGAATGAAATAAGGAAAGGTAGAACTGTTATAACTTGTGTTCTTATAACGTACACACGGTGTTTATTATCTCTAGAAGTCAAAGATCGAGAAAATAAGTCGTTACTGGTAAAAAAGTAGTGATAAGAATCTGTTATGTATAAATCTAAGTCAAAGGCAGGCGAGTCTGAGGGAAACAAAAATCACGCTATGTGTGTGCTGAGTGCTCAGATGTGTCAGCAGGTGTTCTAGGCCCTCTTGTTATTAAATCATTAAAATTCCATACAACAATCTTATGAAGATTATTGTTTATTCTCTTTACAGATAAGTGAACCAGAATAGAGGTGTGAGTCATTGGCCAGGATAGAAACTTAGCCAGGTGGCCCGCTTACGAGACCATGCTCTGCTGCCAGCCACACTGCCTCCCGTGCGGTGCAGCAGTAATCAAGTGGAATTCTGTGCTGAGGATCCCAAAAGCCAGTGGGTAAGATTCTAAGTGTCATATCCATAATTAAAGTTTCATAATATGCAAATTAAATTTTCATCCAAAATGAGTCCACAGAGCGGTAATAAGGAGCATTTAATATAATGATGAAAAATGTTATTCTGAAGAAAAACTGTGAAACAGCACCTGACTATTCTTTAATTTGTTTATTTAAACCATTTCCACTGTAATGTGCAGGCATTATAATAGAAATAGAAGTAACACTTTGCACATGGTATTTTATTAATTTTCATAGAAACATGTAATGCTTTTAAAAAAAACACTGTAGTATCCTCTGGCAGTGATATCTTATTAATAAAGTAAAACATGGGTTGTTTTCCTATCTTATTTTAGGGACTTTCACAACATAATTATTTTTTTTTATTTTTTTTTTTTTAGTCACAGTGTACATGAACAGTAACATCTATTTATCTTGATCCAGGAAAACTGTGGGTAAGGGAAGTAGACTGTTAAACACCATCATTCTTGGCAGTGATAGAACTGGGCCTCTTCGGTTAGTTGATTCTACTGACTCTTTATGGATATGAACAATAGTTTTTTTTCATTGTAGCAGGGTTAGCTCTTTAACTTTCTCCCTCACGCCAGAGAATCTAAATGGTGTGGGGGGAGCTGCATTCTAAACACAATCTATTCTTAACCTGTAGCTCTTTACATTAATCAATTTAATTTTCGATGGTATTTTAATATAGGTGCCAACCATACTTTCACCGCCAGGTAAACGGACCCTTCTGCAGTCCAACTATGTAAATGACACCCTGTGAAGCAGACTTTTTAGTTAGACACAGTTACGTTTTTATTAGCTATATCTGAAAGTCAAGTCTTCATAAGGTTGCATTATGGTTCTACAATGTCTATTTTTCCAACATACCTCTTTAATGATTTTTTACAGTATGAAGAAAAAAAATTATTGCTTTTCCTCTCCTCCTTTTATATATCCATCAAGTATACATCTAATCCACATCTGTAGCTACAGGTTAGTATAAAGGCGGTCTCTTAACCTTGATCATTGAGCCATTGGATGTATATTGTTTTGAAAGCGCTGTGCCACTACACAGTAAATTTTAAGATCTGCATTTTATGATTATATGTACATTCTTATGTTAATTATCCTTCCAAAAGCCCTAGTTAGTATCCAAATAATAGATACTGAGGCTAAGAGATATAATAGTTGCATGTATCTGTATTAAACTATACTTGCCTTGGGTTGTCACATTATATATTTTAGTTCTTGGTCCCAGAAAAATGTACTTAAACTGTTTGAATGTGTACTCAAAATGTACTAGTTTTATCTATATAGAGTCACTTATAAATATTGGTCTTTTCAATTTGAATACTTAAATATATAATAATGAATCTATTTATTCTTAAAATTTCCAATAGTCTTTACAAATAAGAACATCAAATACTTGAGAAATACAATAGCTTGTGGCCACAGCTCTCCTCAGAAGAGAGAATCTATTTATTGTTTGGACACGATTTCAAAAATAATCCCCTTATCACGATTTTTGCTTTCCCATGGTTCAGTACCCACGTCAATAGCGTCTGCAAATAGTTGAGGTACAGTACAATAAGATATTGAGTAGAGAGGACCATATTCATATTACCTCCTATAGAACTTTTATTTTGTTTTATATTTATTATTGTTAATCTCTTACTGCTCCTAATTAAATTGTAACTTTCAAGGTACGTCATGTATAGGAAAAAATCCGTGTGCAAAGGTGTGGTATCTGCCGTCTCAAGCTGTGTGGTCTCGGTGGGAAGGACTCAGATGGGGGGAGGCGCTACTGCTTGGTAAATTCATGGTATCGAGTGTGAAGGAAGGCAAACTAATACTATCAAATCTCAATATGTAATGAGAAAGCGGGAAGCAAAGAGATAACAATTAATCTAAAGGTAGTAAGTATAGTGAGTGTTACTGAGATCAATCCTGAAATATTGTGGCTACTGGACCAAGTGGGTACCTGCAACTTTATGTCAATATTTAATTTGTAACTGAATGTATTTAATCACTAGAGCTACAATTATATT